TTTGTCCTTCTGTAAGGTCCCAGCTGCTGTGAGTAAGAATCAGGAGCGATCCCTGGGACATCTTCATCAGTCATGATATTGCCACACCAAAGGGTGGCTCATCCCACTCTGCCAAGGGCTGTTTCAGTGCCCCTGGGGGGAGATGAGTATCAGGGAACAGGAGGGAGAGAAATTGGTGAGAGGCTCAGCAGAGGTAAGGTTGTGCAAAGCAGAGTGGAGTTCACATGGCTCTTAACAAAGAGGCATTGAGTGAGGTTGTGACAGAGCTCACCCAGAGCCTGGAGATCATTTCCAGAGCTTTCTATATGGGGGAGCAAGAACCTGATTTGCAAGTGTGGGAGCCCTGCTGGAACAGCACCTCCTGGGCTTTTAGGAGAAAGGGTTTCCAGCTCCAAGACCCACCACCTGCCACTTCTGCTGTGTCCCAACACCCAGGGAGTGCAGACCTTCCTTCCCAGCCCGTGTGCCTCAGGGCACCCCGAGCTGTGCTCGGTGCCCCCGAGGCCTCGGTGAATATCTGGGGTTGGGATCGTGGGGAAAGGCATCAACACAAACCACTTCAGAGGCCAAGGTGGAGGAGTAGGATCTCCGAGGTCTGCACTAATGAGGTCTTGGCACCAACACGTCTTTGGCACACGGCTGGGCCCTTTCTGGTCCGTGACAAAAAATAACACCACAGAACTAATGAATAAAATGCAAGTGGGCAAGCTGCAACCTATCCAGCTAATCCAGCCAGCCCCTGGGAGGTGTCAGCATGGATTGGTGGGCACTGGGAGATCTGGGGTGTGAAAATGGCAGGATTCACCCCAAGCTTCCTCCCTGCCCTTCCAACCACACGGATCGTTCAGCAAAGGAGAAACGCGGCCAATCTCAGCACTTCACACACACACACATCCAGCTGAATATGTTCAAAGCTCTCCAGAGGCTGATTAGTGATTTTATTTTCTCCTCCTCTGCTGGCCGTGCGTGCTCATTGCCATCAATTATCTATGCATTTGCCCTGATGAATTATTGAGTGTGTAACGGGGCGAGGGAAGGCCCGCCAGCCCAGCTCAGTCACCTTGCAAACAAGCACTCTCCAGAGCGTGGCAGCAGCCAGGTTTGCCCTCTGGCTTCTGATTTAGGGTGGGAAGCAGATCCAGCAACTTCCCAAACCCTTTTCCTCCATCTGTCCCCCTTCCTCATCGCTGCATTGAGCTGTGGGTGCTGCTGGAGCAGAATGGGTGTGTTGTTTTCCTGATTTAAAGTTTGGATGACTGGAACAGAGAGAGTTTTTCCTGTCTTGCAAAAGAGTTGTTCAGTCGCCTGGAAAGGAAACGCGATTTCCGCGCTGTGTTTGGGGTTTTTCAGGGTGTTTTTTTGTTTGTTTCTTCTTCTGCCGGGTGTTATTTTTTTGTTTTCCCTTTTTCCCTGGAGCCTCGAGAAAGTTTGGAATGTGTTTTTGTCAGGGCTGCTGCATGTAAGGGCCTGAATCCCAGCTTTGGCAGCATTTGGCTCTTGGCAAGCTGTCCTCACTCAACTGGCACCAGCTTTTTCCCTGGCCAAAAGTCTGTCTCTTCACACCTGGACACAGGCGAGTTCTGCAGGAATCCTGTAGGTTCAGGATCAAGTTTATCATCTCCAAAATCCACTTTTTCTCCAGTTTATGTCCAAGCCCAGCCTGTTTCGATGCACGGATCCCAAGGCAGGGGGAGGGTAGAACTGGGAATTGTTGCTGCTGCTCAAGGTCAAGATAAATAACTCGACTTGTAAAAGGGTCAGTTCATTAATTTGCAGGGAAATCACAGCGTAAAGGAAGGGCACGGTAATGATGGATGGAGCGAGGGACTGGACTGACCTCCCCTGTGCTATCCATCACATTCCCTGCTGGAATGGCTGCAGCTTGATTGACTTTATCTTCATTCCAGAGGCACATCAGTGGTGGCAGAGGGACTGCCAGCCCTGCAGGGTGACTCTGAGGAGAAGCTGGTGGCTTTCCACCCTCTCCTGCCTGCAGGTTGGCTCCTCTGCTGCTGGTGGGCACCGCGCGGAGCCGCGACTTCTCGGGACCGCTTTGCTGGGGCGTGGAAATGCGGGTTCAAAGGGCCCCATGGGGGGTCAGGGAGCTTGTGGGGAGCAGAGCCAGCTCTTGTGGGGAGCAGAGCCAGCTCTTGTGGGGAGCAGATCCAGCTGTGCCCCAGACAGACCCCGCTGGGGGCTCCAGCCCTTGGTGGAAGAGGCGCTGGTGGCTCCGCGCTCCCCCTGCCCTGGGAGCTGAGGGAGTGCTGAGCACACCCACCCAGGCTGGGCCGTTCCCAAGGCCCTGGCTACGTGATTGAAGTGCTCCCCAGCAAGCTCCCACACGCTCTGGGAGGCTCTGGAGCCTTCTGAGCCAGACTGCTTGGCAAAGCCGCTCCTCACCTTGGCGGGTGTGGGCAACGCTGCAAGAGGCTCGCTCACCTCCAGGCTGGAAGGAGCAGCATATGCTGCACAGCCTGCTGGAGACATCTCCCCCTCCCCTGTCCACCCATTCTTCCCTCAGATCCCAGCCTGGCCTCATCTAAACCCAGCCTGTGCCCTCGTTTCATCAGGGAGGATGTTGTGGGCACTGGTGGCAGAAAAGTCCTGCGCTGTGTTTTGCTGCTGGGACGTCCTTCTCCAGAGGGGAAGCGTGCTGCAGATTGGACTTTCTCAGAGTTTCCTCTGCTTTGTGCAGGGAAAACTGTGGGGGAAATGGCCCTGGCTATGCTGGGAGGGGAAGGGTGCACCCTGCTAGCCCCAGAGGACTCGGTGGCTTCATGCGTGCAGGCACTTGAGGGCACCAGCACTTTGCTGTGGCTGTAAGAAGCTCTGGAAAACATTCCTGAGCACCCAGCTGCAGTGCTGGGGTGTGGGGCTTGGCTCGGGGAACAAGGGGCAGGTCCACACAAAGCTCTGGAGGCCGAGTTTCGGTCGGAACTGCTGATGGCTGTGGTCAGCTGGTGGCGTCTGGTGGCCAGGCTGGGCTGTTGGGGCTTGTCCTCAGGGTCACAGGAAGGAGAAGGGAGAGAGAAGAGGCGTGGGTGAGATGTGGGGATGAGGATAAGGCTGGGAACAGCAGGTAGGGAGTGAGGGGGCAACGTGGAGTGTGGGTGGGTGGGGAAGAGTTTTGTCTGTGTGTGTGTGTGTGTGTGTGAGAGAAACTGCGGGAAGGAGACTCTTGGAGAAGTCCCAGGGCACATCTGCCACAGGGACCAACACTGAGGAGTTTATTTTACCCTTGGACAGGGAGCCATTCATCCCTGGAAGAACAGAGTAGGGTGACATTTCTGTTAGGAGGTGCTGTCTTGTTTCTCTTGCTCTGCATTTTTCTTTCCCCAGCCCCTCTCTCTGTTCCATTACTCTTTCATGTTCCTCACTCTCTGTGCAGAACATGAAAGAGTTCTCTATCTTTTTTTTTATTATCCCTTTCTTTCCTTTCCTCCCCAGCTCCCAGAATCCATCCAATTGCAGATTCTCCCAGAAGCTGGGAGCAAAACCCGCTTTTCTCGTTCTTCCCACCTTGCCTCTCTGTTGTATTTATCATACAAATACTGCCTGTATAATTACCAGAGCATTATCTCTAAACACACAGATTAGGAAAAGACACAGTGGCAGCAAAGATGAGTTCCAGGGTCAGTCTGGTGGGAGATACTTTTCTCCATCTGTCAGGGGAGGAATGAACTGAGACAGAAGAGTCGTCATGGACTGCAGCTCCCACTTTTCATGAGCACCTTCCACAGAATCAAGGTGGAAGGTTCCTAAATTCAGCCACTTCTGGGGTTAAAAGGGCACAGAAATGACCTGGATGATACAGGGAGATCATGCAAGGTGTAGAGGCAGTGCCTTAAAGCCATTCTTGTATGGGAATTATTGCTGCCCTGAAATGAGGGCTGACTCTTTGCAGCTCCTTTAATTACTGCTGCAGCTCCAATGGGATTAAATGGATGTCTGAGTGTGTGTTAGCATATGTTGGGCTGTGCTGAGCTGATAAACATCAGGGCTTTCACATGCCTGCAGACACACATGCCCTGAATATTTACCACAACTGATTCAGCATCACCCCGAGCTGAAGACAAAAGGGAGGAAGGTGTTATTGATCCAGCCTTGTGCCTTTGGGTGATGATGATGACGATGATGAGCCCTGGGCTGGGCTGGTCCTAGTGGGAGGAAGGTGTTTATGAGCAAGAATGAAGCTGCAGGTGGATGCAGAAGGTGCCTGTAGCTACAAATTGCTCTTGGGTGATGATGATGATGAGCCCTGGGCTGGTCACAGTGGGAGGAAGGTGTTATTGATCCAGGTTTGTGCCTTTGGGTGATGATGATGATGAGCCCTGGGCTGGTCACAGTGGGAGGAAGGTGTTATTGATCCAAGTTTGTGCCTTTGGGTGATGATGATGATGAGCCCTGGGCTGGTCACAGTGGGAGGAAGGTGTTTATGAGCAAGAATGAAGCTGCAGGTGGATGCAGAAGGTGCCTGTAGCCACAAATTGCTCTTGTATCAGCCATGTCAGTAAGAAACACAAGCCCTGTGAGGAGCAACTGAGGGAGCTGGGGGTGCTCAGCCTGGAGAAAAGGAGGCTCAGGGGTGACCTTGTCACTCTCTGAACTCCCTGAAAGGTGGCTGTGTTCAGCTGGGGTTGGGCTCTTTCTCCAGGCAGCACTGACAGAACCAGAGCACACAGCCTTGAGCTGCACCAAGGGAAATTCAGGTTGGATATTAGGAAAAAGTTTATCACAGAAAGGGTGATAAAGTTCTGGAATGGCAGAGTCACCATCCCTGGGTGTGTTTAAAACAACCCTGGATGTGGCACTGGGTGCCAGGGTTTGGTTGAGGTGTTGGGGCTGGGATGGACTCGATGATCTTGAAGGTCTCTTCTAACCTGGTGATTCTGAGTTCTGTGAAACAAGTGGAATAAACAGAGGCATTCCTGAGCCTGATGCCCAATAACCACACTGCTTCTGGGAGTGCCAAACGCTCACGTGTTGCCGTTCCCTTGCAGGGCTGCAAGCTCAGGCTGTCCTGGTCAATGACTCCGTCTCGGGGTTCATCGGCACGGACGTGGTGCTGCACTGCAGCTTCACCAACCCGCTGCCCATCGTGAAGATCACCCAGGTGACGTGGCAGAAGGCCACCAACGGCACCAAGCAGAATGTGGCCATCTACAACCCCGCCATGGGCGTGTCCATCCTGTCCCCCTACAAGGAGCGGGTGACTTTCCGCAACCCTTCCTTCAAGGATGGCACCATCCAGCTGTCCCGCCTGGAGCTGGAGGATGAGGGGGTTTACATCTGTGAGTTTGCCACTTTCCCAACCGGCAACCGGGAAGGGCAGCTGAACCTCACCGTGCTGGGTAAGGCTCTGGGCAGGCGCTGCAGGGTGAGCTCCAGTCCAACAGAGCTGGAGGAACCTGAGCTTCACACCCTGGGAGCTCAGGGCAAACATGGGGGTGTCAATTGTACCTGGGATGGAGTTTTAAGTTGGCTGGGAAGAGGTGAAGAGCAGGGAGCACAAAGCAGGTGGTTCTGAGGCAGCTGAGCTGTCACACTTTTTCTTTCCAGACCTCAGCTCCCCTTTGCCCTCCACCTACACTCCTAATTTTTTTTTTTTTATTATTTTTAAAAAAAGACTGGACTTGGCACTTGGTGCTATAGTCTAGTTGTGGTGTTAGAGCATAGGTTGGACTTGGTGATCTTAGAGGTCTCTTCCAATCTCATTATTCTGTGATTCTGTGATTCTGTAATGTAGGTGCAGTAACAGGGACCAGGTCCCTGTGGGAGTGGTGATTTTAATGAGCTGGGGTTGTCAAACAACAGATTGATCCTAAACTCCAGCAGAGCTTGTCCCTCAGGGCTGTGAGTGAACAGACCCCACCCAAGGTCTACATGAGTTGTTTTCTCTGCAATTTCAGTTCCTTTCTAGCACGGGATGAAAACCTCTGGAAGGAAAGGACTGACTTTCCTTATTTATTTATTTATTATTTATTCCACATTTATGGCACCTCCACTATTGTTTCCCCATAAATGATGCAGGTAGATGGTGCAAGGTACATAGGCACTGCCATAAAGCAATTATTACATGGGAATTATTGCTGGAATTTGCACAGCTCTGGACTCACCACAAGCTCTGTCACAGCCTCAGTGGTGTTAGATGGCTCTTGGGATATAGCAAACAGAGCAGCATTGCCTTTCTAACCATCCCTTTGCACCCTTTTCTCCTCCTCCTCCTCCTTTCTGCACTCCCCTGCAGCCAAGCCCAGGAATTGGATGGAGGGCACCAAGAGGCCACTAATTGCCAAGTCTGGCAGGACAGAAAAGATCTTGGTAGCCACCTGCACCTCCTCCAACGGGAAACCCCCCAGCACCGTCACCTGGGACACGAAGCTGAAGGGGGAAGCGGAGTTCCAGGAGATCCGGAACAGCAACGGCACCGTCACGGTGATCAGCCGGTACCGGCTGGTGCCGAGCCGCGAGGCGCACCGCCAGCAGCTCATGTGCGTGGTCAACTACCAGCTGGAGAGGTTCACCGACAGCATCACCCTCAACGTGCAGTGTAAGGGGCCTGGGCACCGCTGGCAGGGCTCCCTGCTCAGGGCTGGGCTGGTGGAAGGCTTGTGGTCTTGGTTCTGAGGGTGAAAACTGAAAGGATCCCTTGGAATAATTGTGGGTTTTCTCTTTTTCTTCTTTCTCTGCCTCTGTTGTGTCCTGTCTGCTCCCTTCTCTCTGTCTTTTGCACTCCCTCCCATTCCTTGTCCCATCATCTTTCCCTCCTCGCAATCTCTTTCCCTCTCCCACTCTTGCCTCCTCATCTCTTCCTATTTCATTCTCTCCCCTTTCCTTTCCCACATTCCTCGTCCCATCACCTTTCCCTCCTCGCAATCTCTTTCCCTCTCCCACTCCTGCCCCCTCATCTCTTCCTATTCCATTTTCCACAATCCTTTCCTCTCCTTTTAATCTCTTTCCTTTTCCCACCCGTGCCCCTCATCTCTTCCCATCTCATTTCCTCCCCTCTCCTTTCCCACAACCTCTCCTCTCTCCTTTTCCCCTTCTGCTCTCCTCCCTCTCCCCACCCCTGCAGACGAGCCAGAAGTCACCATCGAGGGCTTCGATGGCAACTGGTTCCTGAACCGCAAGGATGTGAAGCTGATCTGCAAATCTGATGCCAACCCCCCAGCTCACACCTACGAGTGGAAGCTGTAAGTGTCCCTAGAGCCCTGCTGCCAGCAGCAAATGTCACCTCCCCACAGGGACAAGGAGTCCCTGCAGACACCTCACCAGTGCCATTAGTGTCAGCGGTGTCACCCCAAGGTACAGCCTGTGCCTGTGGTGGAGGTGGCTGCCAGCTCACTGCAGCCTCAAAATCCTCAAAAAACTTCCCCTTCTCACCTCACTGGGATGATATTCTGCCCTGGTGACGTGAGGCAGCTGAGATGTGACAAGGTGATTCGTGTGCCCAGCACCACCAAGTGCCTCAGCAGCAGAGCTGGGGAAGAACCCTGGATTTCCCTGCTTTGAAAGGGCACAAATAACACAAAATTTGGCTGTGTGTGAACAGCCTTTCCCTGGAATCAGCTCCTCACCGTGACTGGCATTAAACAGCAACAATTCCTTGTCCTCAGGTTCCCAGCTTTTGGCTGAACACACTAAAGGGACTTGAAAAGTGAGTGAGGGGAGTCTGGGCAGTCAGGTGGGAATTGACACAACCTGATGTGGTTCTCTCTGCTGCTCTTTCTTCTCTGTAAGCACTCATGTAGCTTTAAAAGAGGAAGATCAAATGGATCCTTTCTTCTTTTCAGCTGGCATTTGTCATCAGGAGGGAGGCTCTCAACATGGCTTTGCAAGGAGCACATTCTCTCTCATTCCACTTCCCAGATCAAACTGTTCGAAGTGAAAAGTCTGAAAAGGATTGTTTTTCCTGCCTTTTTTCCTACTTCTCCATCCCCAGCTCTCTCCATCTGTTGGTTCTGCCAGGCTCTCTGGGTTCCTCACAACATTTCCAGGGAAGCCTCAGAGGCAAAAATGCACCCGAGGCAGGAGAGATGCCCCTTGAGGCTGTTTCTGTGCCTGGAATGTAAAACCCAGCGGTGCTTTTCCTCTCCTCCCATTGAGATGGTGATGAGAAGTCAGAGGAGCTGTCAGAGGAGGCAGCAGCCTCCAGGAGCATCCCACCCCACCCTGTTGAGCTGGGCTCTTGTTTTTGTAGGTTCAGGGCTCCACAGGACCATGCTTAAGGTGTTTTTCCATCAGCTTGGGGATGGTTGGCTTGATGCAGCTGGGAAATCTGTGTTTTCTGTACATATGTGTATATGTAGACATGCAAAATACATGCATTTAGGCGCTTCTTCACAATCCTAATTATAGCCCCGTTATTCCCTTTTGTTTCTTAGAAATTGCTGACAATATGTACACATTTGGGTTGGGAGGAGGGGAAGGAATTACTTGAGTAATTTTTAATTGCCTAAGAGGAGTAATTACTTTACTTTGCTTCAGTAATTAAGAATAACCAGGCCATGTGTGTCTTTTCCTAAGACACAGGGGCTTTTAAAAAAAATTTTCATCTGCCTTTGTCAATTTATTTTCTGCATCTCCGGGTTTAGTTTTGCATTTTTCCGGTTTCATACTTACCTGACTGTTCTGACATGTAAATCAACACTGCTGTCCTTGAGTTTGAGTTGAAATTAACCCTGGCTGATCAGGAGAGTTAAATGGGCAGGAAATTGAGCTAAAACAGGGTCAGGTTGTGTCCCTTCCCTGCCTACATGAATGGGGATTTTTCCAACTAGCACCTCCAGCTTCCACACCTGCCCAAGGGCAAGCACAGACCCAGAAGGTTGGTGTCACCTCTGGGTGCCACCTGTGGGGTCAACCGTGGTCTCTGTCCCCCCCAGGCCCAACGGGACCCTGCCAGGGAGCGTGGAAATCCAGAACAACACCATCTACTTCAAAGGGCCCGTGTCCTACAGTGTGGCTGGCACCTACGTCTGCGAGGCCACCAACGCCATCGGGACCCGCTCGGGCTTGGTGGAGGTCAACGTCACAGGTAGGACATGGAGAACAAGCTGGGGAGGGACACAAACCTGCGAGGAGCTGGCATCTGCCAGCTCCATCTCCTCAGCCACCAGTGCCTCCTTTCAGGGTGGGAATCTCCTGAGGCAAAGGGGGCAGTGGAGTTCTTGGCTTTGTACTGGTGTTGCACTGGTTTGCTTTGGATTTTTATTTCCTCCTTTCCTCTCGTGGCCTTTTTTGTTCTTACACCAATTCAATCTGTCCCCCCCTCCCCAGTCTCTCTGCTTTGGGTTCAGAGAGATTGTGGTACATGTGAACAAGGGGCAGGATGAGGATGTGCACGGCCAGGAAGGCAGGAGATGGATGAATCGCTTGTTCAGGATGGTGTTTGGTGTTTCTGGTGTTGGGCAATTCTCCTGATTCCTCATTGGAGCTCCTTGCAGTGCTCTGTGAACTCTCTCACCTGCCTGCCATGGATTCCTGTGAGTGCTGGAGGAGCTTTGGGCTCCAGGGAGGAACACCATCCCAGGATGCAGGCATGGGAAGTGAGGCTGTGATGTCCCAGGAGACAGAAGGAATCTGAGGCCTGCAAAGCAGGGTGGCCAAAGACATGTGGGCAAGCTTAGGTAGTGTCAGGGAGAGAAAGTCATGTCAAGAAATAGCTCCAAGGGAAGAAATAACATATGGCAATAACCTGATTTCTGAAAGTCAGAGTGACACTGTGAGACATCACCAAGGGGAAAAAGTGGCTGTGGGTGCTCTGAGGGCAGAAAAGGGACATTTATCCCATTCCTTTGGGTAAAAGGAGTGATTTGGGTTATCAGGCAGTGACTGGTGGGTCTCAGGAGGGCTGGAAGCGCCTCTTGGAGCAGTGAGGTGGAGCACAGCCACACTGCAGCGAGCTCTGGGCTGC